CCAATGCATTTGTAAAGTATACATATTTGAATACACAATTCTATGCGAATAAGCGTCTCGTAAATGACGAGACTAATGTATACAGTTGGCTATGCACATGAGTACATTCCTTATTTTTTTCCATTTGTGTTTATATTCATCACCGTTTTAACCTGTTCAGTGCTACACGCCCACAGGTGATTGCCACTCCATATTTGATAAGTACGCACATTTCGGAATAATTGTGTATGTATGAGTATATACATATGTACATATATACACATGTATATGAGTACAGCTCAAATTCATGTGTACGGGTGCTTTTGTCAATGAATTCAAATAAATTGCATAGAATTGAAAACAAAAGTGGGTATCGCAGTCAGTTATTTAAGTATTTACATATGCGTTTACATATCTGTACATATGTATATATGTATGTGACATCATCTGAAAAGAGTGCATATGCGACCGCTTTTCGAATCTTGGTCAAATTTGAGTTTGCAAAAACTGAATAACAATAATAAACATACCTTACAGAGAAGACCAGCGACCTTCTTTTCTGTGGGGCATAACTGGAATATATTTTTTACTCAAAGGTAGGGTGTCCGAATTATTCGCAACACCTAATACAACTTCTGTAGTATCAGTTAAAACCCGACTACTTTCTCATCTACACAGAATGTTACTAGGTCGGGTCAGGTAACCGTAAGTCAGGCCTTAATGGGCAGATGTTTGATTTTGGTCATTCATTTTGCAATAAAAGTTCGAAGAATTTGTGAAAACGTATTTATTAAACAATAACCAGCGTGTTGTTAGTACAACATTATTAAAAAATTTTCTTTCAAGCATTGATTAATGATGCCTGTATGCTTTTTTGCTTTTGTTTATTGGCAGCCTCGCAAAAAAGTTCGCCTTGACTTGATGACGCTATAAAAATTGCTTTGTAATGATATGGTTGTGGTTGTAATACAACAACATAGCATTTTTGCAAAACAGGTATTTGCAGTTTGCTGCAGTTGCCACTCCAACAATAAAGTGATGAATCAGCTCTGAAGGTTACTTATACCTATAAGTTAATATAATATAAATCGCCAGAGCAACACCATATTTACCGAATTTATTTTACAATTGCAAAATTACTAAAAAATTATTCCAAATCTTATCTTTTATTTACATATTTTGTTTTAATTTAATTTTTCTAATCTTCTACTAACTTTTTAAGTAACTTGATGTTACTAATTATATCAGTTTACTTATAACCGTTTAGTTTGAAATTTCCTTGGCGTTGCAGTTTTGCAACAATAAATGTACATTCAATTCAATTTAACTGAAAGGTTTTGCCGTCTCTTTGCCTTTTACACAAGCATAGCGCTATGTGCTTTCTTTTTTATCACTCACTCACTCGCGGTCTTAAGTTTAGTTTTTATCACAACTACAACACAATCGTGTAACAGCGACCACTTCGTTTATCCGCTTCCGCGAACGCTTTCCTGCTACCGATCCGCAATGCACAAACTCAGAGCGCCAACTAAATGCTTCGCGTCGCAGATGTTGATCGCCTATCGTTGAATTCGATCGGTGATGAGAGTTTTGGCGCTTTTGTACCGTTTTACGATATAATGTATTTGCTACGATTATAAATATATTTTGTGTCATTCAATTAATTAAATAAATCCATTGATAAATAAAACAATATTTTCTAAATAAATGCATTTATTCTTTCGTTTATGACGTGCGTGTCGTGTATCTCTGTTTGAGTACGTACAGATGAGAGTATAGCTTAAACTATCGTATTAAAACCAAATGACCGTTAGCAGGGTCGCTATGATAATTACTTGCTTTCGTTGACATGAAAAATTCTAGATAGGTAGGTTTAGTATTGCTTGAAGGGCTTATTGCCCAGCGAATTATACGACGAGGTAACCAAGGTGAAAGTTCTTTATAGCTTAAATGACAGAAGCAAGCAACTTTCTTCCGAGAAGAGAGCTTAGCTTAGATCCAAAAAGAAGATTGCATTAGTAATGGAAAAGATTATATGAAAAAAATAACATAGGCTTTCATTTTATTTTAATTTTTAGTAAATTTGTTTATAAGTTACCACTGTCCAATCATAATTTAAGGCAAAGGAGAGTTTATTTTTGGTATATGAAGATGTTAAACACTAAATTTTTCACAAATCGGCCAACATTTCTTTAAACATATTTTTTTTCGAAGATTTGACTTTGATCTCTTAGAGTCTTTATATAAGCGCGTCTGAAACATGGTATACGCTATTGAAGTAAGTAAGGGTAAGAGGTGGATGATTCCTTATTGTTACTTTTTAGTAATTTGCATACTGTAATTTATAATGATGCTTTTAATAATATAAAACGTTGTTACTTATGACTCAATGTTTCAAAAAAGTTGGTTTCGAAGTTGTAGTGGTTACTGATATTATTTTTTTTGCACTATTACCATTAATTTTTTAAATTTATAAATATTTAAGCTACACTTGATGAAATTCACAATATAAACGCTTATGCTTGCTTAGGAATACAAAATAACAGTGAAGACTCTAAGCTATACTCAATATCGCTGCTCACTTGCTGGCTAGTGGTCACTTCCCACATAAGTTTGCTTTATATGGGTAGTAGCTTAGAGGTAGCGCTCAGAGGTTCAGCTTAACGCTCTCAAAATAGAAGCTGCTATATTTTGTTATCGTTTTTACCAGCATTTGCAGTTGTTTCCAAATATTTCTCTTTACAGTTGCTTTTGAAAGCTGGGATCGTTGCATAGTAGCTCGCAAGCAACTGTAAAGATTGGCGCAATTCTGTGTTTTGTTCATATCGAATGCACAATGAGTCACATAAACGATAGCGGTTTGTGAATTTCCAAGCACAAGTGGGCGGAAGCATGAGAGTGGTGAAGCTGCTATTTTATTTGTTTTATATCGTTATAAATACGTCCCTGTGTGTAATAATTCGAGAGCTCATTTAACAGTATGTTTAGCTAATGAGTTTTGTTATATGCATACTTATGTATATTTATTTGCAAATAACCAATTAATCAGAACCAATATCTATTATTTCATTCTAGATTATTGAATTTTAATTTTGCCTCCACTAAAATAATTTAAAATTTATAATTTATGTTTTTGTCTTGACCAACTGACATGTGAAGTGTATATAACTTTTGTTACATTGGGTTGGTGTATTAGATAATATTGAAAGCTTTCTTGTAGTCAATGCCACAACCTTTCAAAGCGTATACGTTTTTTTTAAATTGAAACTATTATCCATGAGGGAAACGGTAGCTTTAAAAATATGCTCTTGTAAGAGACCCAGTAGAAAAGTGCCAGTTTTATCTTGGAGCATATACTTTAGATGCATAGCCATGCTTAAAATCTAACCTAAAGTAATTTCAATCAACAAGTTCTCTTGCAAGATGTTGCTACAGACTACAATAGTTTTGTTCACCTAACGGTTGTTTGTATCACCTTAAACTAATCGAGTTAGGCATATATATATATATACATGTGTATATATAATATATACGATTAGAATGAAGAGACGAGTTGAAATCCGGGTGACTGACCCATGGGTAAGATATCTTAACATAACATTAACTGAACATATAATATTGGATATACTTTAGTTTAATGCCGAAAATGTGTGAAATTATATTATACTACATATAATAATTTCCGTTATTATAACATATCTTATTGTGTAAATGGCTATGAACATGAATGTATTTGGTCTAGACCTTGGTCTTCTGGTTGACGTTTTGCACATCAAATATACATCCTATAATATAACTTAATAAAATACCAAATTTGATACTAATTCTTTCACGATTTCGTCGAATAATGAATATACAATAGTATTCTTTCGAAACATATTTTAATATGAAGTTCTGCCAACACCTGAAGGTTTTTCCCCTGCTTTGCTCATTGCAAATTACAAAAATATAAAATGTTCAGTTACACCCGAACATAGCCCTTCCTTACTTGTTTAATATTTCTTCCTGAACAGTTTTATAGTACTATTTTAATTTAATACTTTAATGTTCCATTGCTTTACCAATTGATTCCGTTTTTTGTTCGTATTAAAATTAAAAAAAACTAAATATGGTGCTTGCCTTG